AGTAAATTTTTCAAGAATTTTAAATTTTAAATTTCGTGTTTTTATTTTTAAATTAATTAAAATTTCAAAATTTATTAAAATTGACTTCAACAGTTTTTGAAATTCGATTTTTGTTCGCAAAATGAGAAGCTACGATCATAAAATTCTTTCTCCTTATCGTTTTTCTTACCGCTACCATCTCTGTAAAAGAACGCAAAAAAAAAAGACTTGATTGTTTGACAAGCATTAGGGTATTGCGCAAGAATATCATATAAGTTATTTCACAACATTGTAAAGAGAAATATTAAAATTTAACGTTGCATAACTTTTGCGTTTACATATAAATTGTGTATGTTTATATTATTTTATAAAAGTAGTAATATTTGTTATATTATTATTATTCTAGAATTCTTTCATTATAATAATTTAAAAAAATAATACTTTATGAATTTGGAATCTTTCTCCAATGAATTATTGCTTGATCTATTTGAATATCTTTCTGCTGTTAATCTTATTCGAGCATTTTATAATCTTAATTTTCGCATTAATAATTTGATCTTAATTCATTTTCAATGTTATGATCTCAATTTTCGATCAATATCTCAATCTGATTTTAATTTTATTTGTCGTCAATATCTTCCAAATATAGTCGATTGTATATATTCTTTAACACTTTCAAATGATGATGATACTCCGCAACAAATCGATCTTTTTCTTGAACATGGTTTAACTATTTCTCAATTTATTAATTTAAAATCATTATCATTATGTGATCTTTGTTCTAATGAAATAATGAATAAATTTATGTTGGAATGGAAATATCTTATAAATCTAACTTATTTAACTCTTGCTGGTTGTTATCTTCAATTCAATAAAATCAATTCTCAACAATTAATCGATAGTATTTGGAATATACCTAAATTAATCTATTGTTATTTAAATATTAGTTTTGGTGAAAATAATATATTTATACCAACAGTTATGTCTTCATCATTGAAATATGTATTCATTTGGGGTATTGAACATAGTCAAAATGAAATCAATGCATTAATCAAACAAACACCTTGTCTAGAAAGTTTTTCTATTTTACTTAATATTGATTCGAATGATAATGATATAGAATACACATTTTTATCAATTACTAAATTAAAACTTTGTTTATCTCAAGTACAAGAAGATAAAATTCTAAAATTTTTACAAAATATGCCAAATTTATATGAATTAATTATTGACATATGTTGTTTTGATAAAGATTATTCAAATACAATTTTAAATGGTTATCAATGGGAAAAAATTATTCATAATAATTTACCTAATCTTCAAATATTTCGTTTTAGAATAGAATTTCAATTAACGAATGAAAATAATCGTGAACAACAAATAGATGAATTAATCAATTCATTTCAAAGTTCATTCTGGCTTAAAGAACATAAATGGTTTGTTCGATGTCATTGGAATTCAATGAATAGTTCTAGTTCAATTTATTTATATACATTACCATATAGTTTTAATTATTTTAATTTTAATTCTTCAATGAAATTTAAATCAACTTCTTCAAATGATAATAATTATATAGATTACAATCGTGTTGATCATCTTGAATATCAAATATCATCAATTGAAGAAATAGCTTCATCTTCTATTCAATTTTTTAATCTTCAAAATTTATTTATTAAACTTCCTATTAATGATTATTTTTGGTTTAATATACCAAAATTAGATCAATTAACTTCAATTGTTATTTCAATAAATGATAATAATAATATTCAATCACAATTACAAGTTTTACTTAATCATACACCTTGTCTGTATTCATTATGTTTTACTTCATGTTCATCAGTTCTTTTGCAAATGCCACCACTCGAACTTCAAAATATATCGATACGTCGACTTGATTTACGAGGATATAATCAATATTTTAATAATGAACAATGTATTATATTAAGTCATTCATTATTAGGTATTCAATGTGAAATTCTTTTTATTAATATTCAAAATTATCATATATTACTTGATATGTTGAATAATATGATTAATCTTCGTACTTTAATTATTCGATGTAAAGATGATAAATATGATGAAACAAATAACGATGAACTTATTGTTTGGTTAAAAGATCATTTACCTTCGACATCTATTATTAGCAGAGATATAATTTTTCATTGTGATATTCGAATATGGATTCGTTAAAAGAATAAAAAAACTTGCTAATAAAATCCTTCGCGAGTTAAAATATGAAATAGAATAGAACTACTGGTATTGTAAAAGAGATATTTAATCAATTTATTTTTCAGTTTATGAATTTTCACCAGAGATGGGCAGCTCCGACCATGCGCTCCTTTTTTCGCTTTTTCCATATGAAAAAAGTTAGAAGGGAGATCAGATTAAAATCTTTGCAAATAATGATTGAAAACCGATAGAAGTTGTACATCTTCTTATCAGCTTTTTGTCGAAAGTAACCGGGAACTTAGATTTTTATACATAATTTCACTCGGCCCCGATTTTTATCGTTTGAAATTCAATGAAAGGGATCGTTTCATATTGGTTTTTGTGAGTAATTATAAAAAANATCGATATATATCGATTGTAGTTGACGTATTTCAAATTCTAACAGATTTCAATCGAAGTTGATAGGACCTATTCAAAACTGAACGAAATCGATCGAAATGCTATCTGAAATATTGACCTTTTATAGCGATTTTCGATTAAAAGTGAATTAATGGTTTACGAATTGTAAGTTTTTTAATCTGACTTCGCTCGTTATTTTTTACACGAGTTTCCTTCTGTGAAGAAAAACAAGAGAATTAATGAGGAAAAAGCTCGCCATTAATTATTCACTATAGTGAATATGTCATTCCTACATTTTGCATGAATGGCGGTGTTTGAAATAATGGTTGACCATTCATTGAGTCCATTGTTCTATGTTTGATTTCGACTCTCGAAGAATATGCTCTCAATGCTAACTTTATTAAAGTGTAAGCGATAATTACTACAATTCGCTAGTCTATTTGTCATTGTAAATAATCCTCATAATGTAATCAAGTCAGCTGAAATAGATTGATGACTGATTTTTTTGCTAAATACATCGACAACTACTTTTTCTCTCAAATAAATTGATGATTTTTTTTTCTTACATAACTTAATTATTGTTTTTTCTTAAATATATTGATACTCTTTTTTCTATATTGCGTGCGTATATTTATATACATACAGAATAAAAACATGAAATTCACTAAATATCTTTAAGATTCCAGAAAACTAGAAAAAACCTTTTTGCTATAGCGGAGCTCGAGCGGAGTCGGAGCGGAGCGAGTAAATTTTTACTGGAGCTGGAGCGGAGCTGGAGCGAGAAATGGTTGTAGCTGCCCATCTCTGATTTTCACCTACTAATTCCGCACGTTGATTTTGATCTCGTGAATACAATTGTGAAAAAAGATTCAATTTCCTACACCTATACTTCAACATTCCTTTTAATTTGTATTTCACAAAGCTTGGCAAATTCTTTTATCTAATATATTAATTAATTTTAAAAACTTTTCTATTCATATACTATTCATTTAAAAATATTATTGATAGATAATTAAGGAAACTTCTCTATGTAAATGAATAGTCTCAATTATTTTCTTCAATTATTTTCTGTGTTTTTTTTCTACTTAATCAAAGTGCAATTTTCTAAGAATTAGTATAGTGATAACAAGTCATATTGTCACTGTTGTATGATGATTAGAAACATTACAGTTGGCTATTCATTTATTCTAATAGAATTTTCTTTGTTAAAAAATGTCACAGAATGAAAACTACTAAGATCTTAAAGCTTATACCGAGTTAGGCACGCATTAGTGCGAGAAAAATTTCTCATCTTGAACACGCTAAATTATTAACTATATATAATGAGAGAAAGCTAAACGAGTATTTTTATAACAGTTAGACGTATAGTGAAGTCAATCGATGTCATCAGCACTTATTTCGTCCCTTCTTCAAACTAATCAACGAATTATTACTTATGGTGGTATAGCAATATTTATTGTTGGTTTAGTTGGTGGAATTCTTAATATAATTGTTTTTCTTAGTCTTAAAACATTTCGTGAAAGTTCTTGTGCATTTTATTTAACAATTCTTTCGATTGTTAATATTGGTCAATTAGTAACAAGTTTATTAACTCGAATAATGATAACTGGATTTAATATTGATTGGACACAAAATTCATTATTCTATTGTAAATTTCGAACATTTGTTTTTCAAGCTACAGCAATGATTTCTTTTACATGTATTTGTTTGGCAACAATTGATCAATATTTTGCAACATGTTCTCGAATTCAATGGCAAAGATGGTGTCATATTAAAATTGCACGTCATATAATGATTTTTGCAATTCTAATTGCAATTATTGAACAAAGTCCATGTTTATTTTTATATGATCATATGAAAATATCAACAACTAACATTACAGTTTGTACAACAACAAATGAATTTTTTATTCAATTTAATGTTTATTTTAATTATCTTATTATTGGAAATATTTTACCTTATTTAATAACATTTTCATTTGGATTAATGGCATATCGTAATATAAAAGAGATAGCCTATCGAACAGTACCTTTAGTTCGACGTGAATTAGATAAACAATTAACAATTATGGTTCTTATACAAGTTGTTTATACATTTTTTTCAATGTTTCCGAATATGATTGTATATTTAATTCTTGCATATGGAAATATTGAAAATTTAGTTATTGTTGCACAATTACGTCTTGTTTATACCATATTGACATGTTTATATTATAGTTATTTTGCTGTAAGTGTCATTATTCAAGATAAAATTTTTCTTGAATTGATAATGAATTTTTTTTTCTTTAGAGCCCATTCTATATTTATGCATGCGCCTCGGAAAGATTTCGTCGACAATTAGTTCATGTAATTTCTACAATTTATTTAAAACGATTTCAAGCACAAGTTGTAACTGCTAATCAAGTGCTTCCTCACCTTTAGGAAGTAATAGTTATTATTATACGACGATATTTTTTTTTTGTGTCGAATAAATTCACTTCAAGGAAATATAATCTACTATCATTATATATTAGAATGGCAATGTTTTTTTTTAAAGATAATAACATAAGACAAGTTCAGGTCAAATTAAATGTTTAACTACCATACTAATAAATTAAAAATATAGACTGTTATTAGTGTGCTTGAACCAATATATTTAAATTTTAAGAGTGTATCTCGCGTACTAACAAATCATAATTTCAACAAAATGTTTTTCGTCATATTTGCATAGAGCTTGTTGTGTTGCATGAGGAAAAATATGTTTCAAAATTTGAAATTCAAACATTCTTGTCTAGACACATGAACAGCAGTCTATTTTGTTAACTTGTTAGTTTGCTAATGAGATTGTTAATTTTGACTTGAATATATTTAACCTTATGAAGTTAAAATCCAAAGTACTTCAATTGTTAGATATCTCATAAGAAACTACAAATGTTATCTGTTATATATAATTTTTCTAAATTAAAGTGATGAAGTCAATTACTTTGTTGTTTGTTCGTGGTTAAGTTTCTTATATATTGTTCTTGATGAGATATACTCATCTTCTTTGTCGAATATTGATCACGTATGAACTCATTTGATCTTTGTTTTTTTTTTCGTTCTTCAAAAAATATAATAAAATTGTGACTAATTTTTTTTTGTATTACTATCATTAAAGAAATAAGTAATTTCAGGGCGGAGAAGGAGCGAAAATATCATCTGAAGGTTTATGTCCTTCGACACCACTTCATGTTTGTATAATTTTTTGTCTGCTCTGTATGTTTTAATCTATTCATTTGTCTATGATTTATACGTTCTATGTGAAGAAAAAAATAATAATTCAAGTTCGCAAAAAGTGTCTCTTGCTACTTATTTTATCTGTGATCACTATTCTTCGTAAGTTATGATGGTGTTTGCCTTTAATTAGTTTTCTTCATAAGTTACTCACATCTCTTTTTAGATCTTATCATGATTAAAGGGTTAAATAAGCTGCTCATCTCAAACAAAGAAATAATCTTATATTGTGGTTCATACATTCTAAACTTATAGACTTATTTTGATATGTCGATAGCAGCAAATTTTTGCGATTGATGTTGTTAAATTATTCCACTATGAATCTGTAGTTGACATTTAAGATTGACTTTTCACAAGTGTCATAGTATTTATCAATCACTTGATAAGTCCAGCTTAGTTGACGGATGAGAACCAGAGATGTCCATCGCGGCTCAAAATCTGCCGCTGCCGCGCCGCGGCGATAGAAAAGAAAATCTGCCGCGCCGCGATGAATTTCCAAAAGTCTGCCGCTGCCGCGATGGTACTCGAAAAAAAGTTTCGAATTTCATTGCTGTGAATGTATTGAAATACAATTCTTGTCACTAATCGATGAGATTCATTGAGTCTTAGAGTGTCACGTTTGTGGACACTCAATTTTTGGCAAATTCATGAAGTTTTGGCAATATCTTCTAAAAGGAGCCTGCCGCTGCCGCGATGATATTTTCAAATTTCTCCCGCGCCGCTGCCGCGTCGCGATGATTTAAAAAAAAACATGCCGCTGCCGCGCCGCTACCCGCCACCGCGGCCGCGGCGCGATGGACATCTCTGATGAGAACAAAACGTTTATATGATCTATTATATTTGCAAACACTTCAAGTGCATTCTTTGATATAGCTGAGTCTTTTAGTAAATGTCATATGTAAATATTAATTGACTTTTCTATTGTCAATTTCTTTTTTTTTCATAAAAAATGATCAAAATTGAGCATATGATAATAATTTACAATGCATAATATATTAGTGTTATGCGTGGATATAACTTTTCACAAGTGAACTTAGAGCGAAGCTAATCGACATCCGACAGATACATTCACAGTCATACATTTGGGTTTTCAAACTTTTATTTTTGTATGAAAAAGTATACATTTTAGTTTCTTCCATAAAAAACAACACAAAAAACGAGATTATCTCAAGTGTAAATGATTCAGGATTCATTTTGTGTTTTTCTACTTCTAAAATTCAATTAGTTTCGATAAGTATACGTTTGCATTCTGTTCCTAACGTCAGAATATAACAAAGTATTGGTGCCAAACGTTACAATTGTGGATCCATGCATGAATGTTTTTTTTTCCATCACGATAATATATGTTCATCTTTTTGATAATTCATTTTCCTTTTCATGTATTCGGTTACTTCGTCATATGATTCATCATTATTTCTAGATAATTTTTCATTAAAAATCAATTCTTTTAGTAGAACAATATCGTGTTCTAATTCTATGAGCTTTTCTCAATTACAATAAATTACTCAATTCTGGTCGAAACAGTTTTCACTTCTATGTTTTTGAATTAATTTACAGTTGACTCAAATCAATCCAACTACAGAACACTGTAATACAAGTTTATTATTGTTTTGTTAGAATTTGAAAAACAAATTCTTGTATTAATTTGGTTTCAATAGCTAAATAACATTCAAAATTATTTAAGACAATTTGAATTTACCTAATGAACTAAGTTATTGTTATTTTTTACAATTATTTTATTATATAAAACATTTCTATTTTTCTTCATACTCTATATGCTTTTTTTTGCACAAATACTATACCTCTTATCAATTATTATATTTACCACAATGTTAACATATATATGTAAAACCAGATATCTTACATCTATCACAACATTTTTGTTTTTCTTATCATTATTTAATGGCTGTTCTCCTAGTTTTTACCAGCTTGTTATTGTTGTGCCATGGTATATCAACTATTGATGTTATGCGATATGCATCTGTTCAATATTCAATTCTCTATTATGAATTTATTGATTCATCAAAAACATTTTATCCATCATATGGTTATCCATTAGATGAAGAATGGAAATCAACAACAGCTACAACTGGATGGACACAAGGTTTTTTTCCTGGTGTATTCTGGAATATAGTACAATATAATGCAAGTCGACAAATTCTACAACGTGCAATCGATGTAACAACACCAACAGCTCCATTTGCCAATAATACAAGTACACATGATGTCGGCTTCGTAATTATGTCTGGCTTTGGTAATGCATATCGTTTACTGAAATTTCCCGAATACTTAGATGTTATTGTAACTGCTGCTCATTCATTAGCAACTCGATATTCACCTATTGTTCGATGTACACGTTCTTGGAATAGTCCACAAGGATTTTTAGTTATTATTGATAATATGATGAATTTGGAATTATTATTTGAAGCTAGTAATCAAACAAAAGATCAAACATTATATAATATAGCATGGCAACATGCTAATCGAACAATGTATGAACATTTTCGATCAGATAATAGTACCTATCATGTTGTAGAATATAATGAAACAGATGGTAGTGTTATTCGAAAATATACTGCTCAAGGTAAAAGAAATTATTTTAAATATTTTTTTCTTTTTTGCGAATTTTATTTTTCTATAGGTTATGCTGATTGGTCAACATGGGCTCGGGGACAATCATGGGCTGTTCATGGATTTACTATTGCTTATCGTTATACGAAATATCAACCATTTCTTGATAAAGCTATTGGTGCTGCAAATTATGTTTTAACACATCTTCCAAGTAGTACAGATTTAATAACTTATTGGGACTATGATGCTCCTTATAACTCAACATTAGCATATCAACCAAGAGATACATCGGCTGCAGCTATTTTTGCTAGTGCTCTTGTTGAATTATCTCAATATGCACCAACATCTGATTTAAAAGATTATTTTTTAACAAATGCTAAAGCAATTGTTGATCAATTGTCTAGTCCAAAATATATGATATATGGTGATAAAGATTATAAATTACCTGCTTTACTGACAAATGGAACAATGGGTCCTTATCCAAAAAGTTCATATGATGTATCCTTAGCGTATGGTGATTATTATTTGACACAAGCTGTTATACGTTTAGCGAAACTTTAATTATTTTATAAACAAACAAAAATTTGTTTTTCTTCAATATAAATAATTTAAAAAAAAAAGAAATCTTTCTAGCGTAGCCCTTTTTAGGACTAAAATGTGGAATTTACATGTATTTTCCAGCTTCATTAAACTAATACACAATATGCTAAGTGTAAAAGATCATAATTATTTTATAGCGATAATTGATTGTCAGTAAACATTCTCTTTTTTATTCCTACATTTTGAAAAGAAATTTTGTTTCCTTTTTTTTTACTCTTATACTTCAACACTCCACTCTTCGATCATGTTTCACAAAAAATAACAATATCTTTAAAACTCTTATCTAATGTTCATAACAATTTAATCAACAACATGATTACAAAGAAATAGAAATGTAAATAATACCATATGACTATGAAACTTTCTATATGGAAAATATATTCTCATGATTTTGTTTTTCTGTAATTTTGTATTCAAGTTGAAAAAATGATCCAAAACTTTTACATGTCTTTCATCATGATCTGCTTGAAAAATACGTTTTCTTGACCTTGTTATCTAGAATTCTTTATGAAACTTTATTTTATATCGATAATATGCTCTTTGTTTGGAAGAATATGTCAAGATGCTGAGCATGACAAAGTGTCATTTTTGAATTAAGCTTCATTACTTTTGTATATACGAGTACTTTTATAATTAGAGCGTCATTATCCGCAACATTGAAAAATTTCATCTCTTTCCTCCTCTTCAAATCAAATACATAGAATGAAGACCTACAAAAGAATTTTGGGTTGCCAAATGAGTTATTGTTGACTTTTGTTTGTTGAATGTCTCTCGAAGACATTATGGTATAATAATGCTGAAAATTATTGCATAGCCTCTTCACTACAGCCTCGACATATTCTGAAAATTTCATGTAATTTGAATATACCTAGCCCAAGACCAATTTTTGTGAGGAGGGTATTAGAATTCTTTCAACAAAGTCTTACATTTTTGGAACGAATTTCATATTTTAAAATATAATTATAAAATCTTTCTTCTTTGCATGTAAAAACAATTTTTTCAATCATAAATGTATTCTTTTTTAATTTCAGTCAAAGATATGATCCATTTTCTTTGTGATATAAACGAAACCTAATCATATATTTTTGCTTGTCTTCATAATAAAGTCTCTCATAAGAGTATCAGAATACAAAATTACATCGTTATCATACTGCATTCTCTCATCATTCTTATCATTTTAAATCATTGCACTTTTACTGTTTACTAACTTGTTAATAGTGTGCTGCATTAATGTAACCTTTAATGCTGGGAACTATACATCAGTGGCGTACGCAGGGGGGGCGAGGGGGCCTGGGCCCCCCCTTGAGACGAAAAAGTCCTGAAGGGGGGTATAGGAAAAAATATTTTCGCGTGATAAAAAATTTTTTGTGCCATGGCGGGCCCCCCTTACGAAGTTGGGCCGCCCCTTGAAAAATTTCTGCGTACGCCACTGCTATACATCCAATCCATTTTTCATTGTCTATTCTTAGTATGTTCACCTTTCGTGTTAGTACTATCGTTTGTATGTATTTCCATTGAAAAAACATTGAATAGCAATAATAGCTATAGTCACATGGACATAAGCTTTCTTTTTTTCAGATCTTCTCTAAAAATTTTTTCAATGCTACGTTAACAGAAAAGTATTTCAATTTTCTAAAGAAGTTACACGATCAACAGTTCCATTCGTATTAATACAAGCACTTATTAGTAAGACGATTTTCACCTGTTCNACAATTAGAGCTCAATCTTCTGATCACAGAGATGATACTTTGAGGTTTTATGGGCTGGAGAACTCGAATCTGTACTCCACTTACCTCGAAATCCTATTGGTTGAAGGGAAACCAATAGAAAGCAAGTGATAGAAAAAAACGACTTTCTTAGGGTAAATCAAGACGACGAGTTCGAATCTGAGCTGTATTCGCCTCCAAGTCATATTGGGTGAGCAATAGTCAATAGAAGTCAAATGTTTATAGGAAAAATTTGCCAGGATAATTTTGATGTCCACACATTCTAGGATGACTCATCTGTCTAATTCACTTTTTGAAGTACACATAACTCTCAGATTTAAATCCGAGGTTTTCACATTTATTTTTTAATAGATATCGAAATATGAGCCAATAATCCAGCACAACCGTCATAATTCGACTGCAAACAGCTTTGGAAATAACCCTTTTTCTTAAACAATTTTTCCTAGTCTCATCGAAACGTCCATCTGAGCGCAACATGAACTTAAATGACGAGTTACAATTGATATAATTTTCTTGTAAGTAAAAATAAACTAAAAATGATATTAAGTGAATGAACTCAAAGTTCGTCGTCCAGACCTTATAAAAACTAAATTTCACAATGGAAATAATTTTTAGTATTGTTTATTTAACATAACAATTTTATAACAACAAGAGATGATTTTTTTTTATACAATCAAACTATGAGTTCTCAACCACAGATCAATATTTTAAACGTCTCTTAAGATATTAAAAAAATAAGTTAAAAATGATAAATTGATTATTATAAATCTAATGAAAAAAAAAATATTGAAGATTTAACTATTATCTTCATGAAGAATCTTGTTCGTTTCGTTCATAACTCTAAAATCAGATAAAACAAACGAATTTATTCAATATTTAATAATATTCATACTGATTTTAATACGTATTACAATCTATGAAAAGTTTCGAATTGAAATTTACGTAATTAATAAGTCAATTTATTTATTATAGATGAAATACTTTGAGTCTCCTAAATTAATTTGGTGGATTATTATTCCTACATGTATTATCTATTTATTTCTTATGGTTCATTGGCCATATGTAATACCTTTTAAATCGTTGGGTTTATTTGGTGATTTATCATATTATTTAATATCGAATTATCGTCTTTTACTTTTCATAATTCTATGGGCTACTTTTATTGCACATTTTTGTGAAGCATTAATTGCACGTCGAATTTGTCGACGGTTTAATATTGATCAAGAATCAACATATTTATGGATAATACAAACATTTATTTTAGGTTTTTTTAATCGTTCTTTTTGTTAGTGATGATTTAATTTAAATATATTTGTTTTTTATATATAGGATTTCCTTCATTGACTATACTTAGACGATATGTACGTCGAATATTATGGTAGAGTTAATTTAAGATTTGTTATTCCATCAATGACTTATTTTTTTTATATAATAAAGTTATAAAAATTTAATTTTATGTTTAGATAATCTAAGGAGGTGGAAAAAAGTTTAACACCAATGTTTTTTTTCTCTCTATAATATCAGGCACGTAGGACGAATGCAAATGATAATTCTAAAAACCAATGGAGTTCTCTATCTAATGTATTCTATAGCAAGATTTCTAGAAATAGAAACCCGGACACAGTGACTTTCAAGTTCGAGAAGCGACTTTTTAACAATACTATTTTTAAAGAGAACTAAATAAGTGATCGCTGCTGCATTTTTTATGATCTTCCCTTAAAAAAGTTGAAAATATCACAGAAAACGAAATTTATCAAAAAATCGACTAAAAAATTGTCTGTGTTCGATTTTTTGTGATGATTTTAACTTTCGAGACATTTTCACTATTGAATTGTTGAGATTAAAGGCGACATATATTTCCGTACTTAAACAAGACTATATTATACAAATATACTGAAATCTTTAATCTCAAAAATAAAGTTTTCTCGACATAGATTGAAGAATTTTCGTATCTATCTGATATTTTAATGGTTCCTATTTCAGTTTTTTGAAACCGAACCATTATAATTTATCTATAAAAACTTGCTATAGAGTCAAAAAAGCACATTATTGTAAAACTTTTTTCACCACTTTACATATAATACAGTTTTTATTCTAATTTTATATTGAAATGAAAGCAGTGTACATAATTTTTTAAGTTTTCAAAAATCATATTTATAATGTTACGTTCTTTAAATTTACTTTCACGACGTTGTCTATTTTTATACAATAGCAAGTATGAAAAAGATTTATTTATTTATCTTATATTCTTTTTTATGATATTTAAATTTAACATGTCTACATTGTCGGATAATCAACAACAATGTAAACCACCAGCAGTTAATTTATCTGATGCAGAATGGAAAAAGAAATTAACTAATAAACAATATCGTATATTAAGACAAAAAGATACAGAATATCCTGGTACAGGTGAATATAATAAATATTTTGAAACAGGAATTTATAAATGTGCTGGTTGTGGACAAGAATTATATGAGTAAGATTTTATATGATTCTTTCTTTTGAATGAATAGAGTCATTTTTTAATAGTTCTTCATCGAAATTTGATTCACATTGTGGTTGGCCAGCATTTAGTTCTTCAATTGGTACATCAGTTAGACATCAAATAGATGTAGATGGTTATCGAGAAGAAATTTTATGTGCTAATTGTGATGGTCATTTAGGTTTGTTTAAGACTTCTATTTGATAATTTTTATACAAGAAAATCTTATACTAATGACTTGATACGTTCTAGTAATTCAAAGGAGAAAGAAATAATTATTCAAAGATTTTTTTTTTTTTTTATATACAGTGGCTCCAAAAATTATTCATACAAGTGAAATTTCGATTTTTTTCCCTAATGGTAACTCCTATGAAGAATCGAAATAGTGATTTGGATAGAGAAAATAGNCTTTCTGCCTTGGCAAAGTCTGTTAAGTATGAACGGGTATCACGATGAATCACAATATCTTCAAATGGATATTGTCTCTTGTTATATATATATGAATACCATGAATTTTACAGAAGCAACAGCAACTATATGTGGGTGTGGGTGGGTAGGTGTAGGTGTGGGTGTGGGTGTGGGTGTGGGTGTGGATGAAGAGATGAGCAAGATCTACATCCACATCCACATCCACACCTCACTTCGACCGATACGTGGTGGGGTGGATGGAGGCTCTAGTTTCTTGGTCACACTATTGGTTTGTTCATTATGATAATTAGTTTTAATAGGAAAAGATATTAATTCAATTCATTTTTCACACAGAACAAATTTTTCAGAGGCTCATTTGGATCAGGCACTTTCTGATTTCCAATACGAGAAAACAGCCACAATTGCATATGATCCTTACAAAATTTTAAGACACATTCGACAGCTCCTTCAAACAAAATATCCGACCATGAACTACTCGGAATCGGATGGAACCGATTGGATTCCACCAACTGAATCCTATGGAGTCCGCCCGTCGGATTTCATCGGAATCTGGTAATCGGAATTTATCGGAATCAGTTGAGGTCCGATTGGATTCCGACAATCAGAATCCGATTGGATTCAGTCATCGGAATTCGGCAGATTGAGACAGATCCGACAGAATCCGATAGCCTGCTTTTGACCTGGGCGCGGTAGTACTTGGTTGTACACAACACAGTAATGTACTATTGTAATAGACATATAGAAAAAAGTTTATTGCCGCTATCCCAGGTCAATAATGCCTGGCCGAAAACAACCGTATAGCAGTCAAATACAGCAACTATAAAAAGTTTAAAGAACGTTCAACGTTTCCTAATGAAGATGACAATTAGCATTAAACCGTGCTAATGCTACTGACTATTCATAGACATTACTCATTAAGAATAATGGGTTAGCTCTGACTTAAAAGCCTCATCAATATAAAGTGTTAGACGTAACATTCTATTATTATCATTTCGAGTACATATACTTTAGATTTTCACAGTCTATTTAAACAAAACATCTGCACCATTCAAGACAATGGCAATAGAATCCATTATGATACTACTAGCATACTACGTACGCCTTTTGTCGTGCGATGTGCTGCTACTAGCATTCCAGGTATAGCTCCAGAAGCTACATATGTTTCATAGACTGGCTCATGTCAAAAGATCCAGTGACCCGGAATCCGATCCGGATTTTATCGAATGCTGTCGGAATCCGACAAAAACCGATAGAATACAGTCAACACTTGGTCGTATCCAGTCGGAATTTATGTCGGAATCCGGGTCACTGGATTTCCGATCACTTCCGATAGAATTCTGTCGGTTTTAAAACGATCCGATAGAATCCGATGACTTAGCTTCGTCCTAGGAGGGTTAGCAATAATTCTAAAATAAAATCCTTTATGTATACTCATAATACATTGTAGTGCTATTAGGCAACACGCCAAACACTGCCGATGGGCTATTTACATCCGTACGGGACCCAACTCATATGTATGATGGTCATAATATGACTCAGTTCGTTTGGATCCGACCTTAAACTCCAGTGAGTAGACTTAGAAATCCTGAGAAAGGCATCCAGTAACCACAGATTCCTCTAGGTATTTTTCAATTATCTAAGAGTTGTATCAAACGTCAATACTACGATAGAAACACATACACCTCCAAACTCACACTTGTACAGGTAGAAAATTTGTCAGTTGGTAGTATAAATTCCTTAAAAACCCTTGTCATTAGGATTTGTAAATAACGTGATTTCTTCATCTTAATGCATCCAGTCTTTTTTAGAGTAAGTACGACGCTTCGTGGCGACATACGGCGGTAAACGTTGCTATGTCCTATCGAATCCGCCTAGATACAACCGTACTGCAGAAAAGATTTTTGTGTATTAGAGGTCTGTAGGTTGCCGTTTACGACACAGTGTCATACGGCCGTAACACTGTCGCTACCAAACGAGTGAAAGACAGCTTGTTTACGGTTGTCGTAATCATCGACCAGGGTAATGTATGGCCGTATGCTAGGCGCTAATATTTGTTGACGATATTCTAAACGTCTGTTTACAATGGTTTCTGGTGGTCATGATGCTCGGTCTGACATCAGGACATGTTAATTGAAGTCAAACAGTAACTCATGCATGATTAATCGGCATAACTGAAGCTAAAATTAAAATATAGTTACTCCAGAAGTTGTCATGAAGATATAGAATAATTTAATTCAATGTTAGCTTCCTTATTCGAAAGACTTAAACAATGTAAATTGAAAAAACAACCATTAATTTAAGATAATTTGAATTTAGTTTCTATTTTAAATTATGAAGTAGAGTGATTTAAATTTGCATTAAATTTAAACAGATGATAATTTGATTGTATGATGAATAAAAAAAGAAAATGTGAATCTGTTTAAGAGAAATGGTTAATCAGAAGATAATCTAGAAAAGAACTTCCGAAAATGCGTAAATTTAGTACGTTCAATGGAGACGATTGTACATAGTTGCAACCGCAACGTAAAGAGATTATTTATTGATTTGTCAACAGGCTACAATACATTTCGGCTGTAACGCATTTCGCTGTTAACGTTTTTGAACCTATCATAAGCGATACATAAATGAGATACATTTTACTTTAGTGGGAAAAGAAGTGTGAGCCGGAATAATTGATCAGTTCGACATTAGGAGAGTAATTGAACCAACGTATTCATGAGTAGAATTCCAAAACTAAAACTCATCGAAGAGAAAATGTTGGCTTTGGCTAACATTTCAGGGTATGTGATATCTGTTACGTATTCTTCAAAAGCTTAATTGTAAACAAGAAAGGTATTATTTGGGTGTAAAGCTCTAGTGTAAACACAAGACGAAACTGTGTCACATGAAAACTATTATTTCCGTTTTTCTGCAGGCTAGACCACTTACCAAGGATTGATCAATGACAAATAGTTAAATGTGCACTTCAATTATAAGTCTGTACCAGAAGACAAGACGATCCAAGCATATTATTGGATAAAATGAAGCACTAATGCCATTTTTCAGTGATAAAACAATAGTCAACGCGAGGAATAGTGACATGCTCGTTGTTGTCATGAAACTGATGTGATTGGTTACAGGGCATTCAATCAAGTTTATTTCAGAAAAAGACCATTCCTGTGTGAAGTAAGCATCAGTTAAAATAATAGAAGAGCGAATCCTCCAAAACCATAAACTAAAAGAAAGACAAGTGTGGTTGTGCTTTTGTAGTTTTGTTGGATCGATCATACATGTCTAGTTTTCTTGCCTCTCGGCGCTAGCAAATTCAGCTTGAAGAAATTACCATTTTCATATGCGTAAATGTATCAATATTTGTGTCTATCTGTTTTTCTTTCCTCTTATTATAATGTTGGCTTAACACGTTGTGTGAAGAAGCAAGAAAAATGCAGAATGTAAGAAAGCGTTTCACCGTTGCGTCGAGCAACTTGCATCTTTTTTGGCAACTATATCACACAGCACATAGATATAAACCAAATGACATATTATCATATTAAAATCCACCATTGACTTCATGTTACAGCGTTGAAAAGAACAAATTTTCCAATAATGAGTTTTGTTTCAAAGAATCTTCGTTTTAGTCTTATTGAGGTTGTGGACACAGTATTCTTGCTGATTGAATTCAGCGGCATGTTTAAAAGGGGAGTTAATAAATTGAAGGAAAGTACGATTGAGATGTTGAAATGTATCATACAATATGGAAGCCTATGTTCCCATGAGAAACTATACAGAATCAATGTAAACGTGCAGAATTAGATAATGATTACTATCGAAATAAATCATGAAATGCATTTTAGAAGCATCTAAACACATTTTGTTGAGAGTGATGGCGTTTAAAGGCAATTTACATTTTAAAAAAACTTCAAATGTGTTGAAGTGCGCTTATTATAACTTTTTACATGTGTTTCAAACCCTCTGCTTGTATTCGAAGGAGTTCTTCAAACGCAATGACTCCATGCAAGTTCATAATAGTTATGAAACGCGTGTGAATACGAATACTTTTGTTTTTGTATCTGACTAGGTAATAGCTAGAAAAAATCTTAAAAGCTACCCGCTGAAATAATTACTCGTTACAGGGAGAAAGACACTTCAGAACTTGCTGATTTTTTTTCTACAGCATGTAGAAGAGTGAATGCAGTGGTACAATAAAGTGCCAGCTTGATCTAAAACGTTTTTTCTACTTATGGCATACCAAAAGTAAGGATGTTGACACTTTAAAACCGTTTAATAAGCTTTAAGAAATTTCTCTCTATGTAGCCTGATAGAGAAAAATTTTTTCTATTTTTCTATGCTATTTGATCATACTTCAACTAGCATCATAATAATAAAACTTCAATAAGATCTGTTTTTCTCTCATATGTGACGGTTATACTAATATCAACTCAGTGAATATTTTTTGAATAACTTTTGACAATAATAAGATAGAGAGCTGCGGTTTTCACCATTCGAAAGAGGAAATGAAGATATATCGAATTTAGTTATTGATTTCTGAGCATGGCTTCTTAAAGATTTTTAATCGACTTTTTTGGAAACAAGCCTACTCTATAAGGTGTTTACAGCAAATTTTCAATTGTCAGGCGTGCATTCAAACCATCCATGGAAGACCTACAAAACTGAAGGAGTTTCACATATTTTGAATGAGTCATTGAGGAGTTATAGATGTTCTAGTCGAAGTTCTAAGTGATTTTTCTAGCAATTTCTGTGCAGAAATAAAAAACCATCTTTTTGCATACTTAGAA